AGGAGGGGAACAGCATAAGAAATTTCGAGCACTCTCTCCCCTCATTGGGTGATTAATAGAGTTCCAAATTCCAATTCTTTGTCCGGAAGGCCGATCTAAAGCGGAGGGAGCCGGTTAAAAAGATATATATCGTCAAACAGAGAACTGACCGTTTAAAAAAACAAAAAAAGAGAGAACTGACCGGTAAAAAAACAAACAAAGAGAGAACTGACCGGTAAAAAAACAAACAAAGAGAGAACTGCGCGGTAAACCGTAGGCAGAGAGGGAGAAGAGGAGAAGAAACGAGCGGCTGTGACAGACAGGCTGTTTCATCGAAGTCTCACTGACTCATCAGGAGGCTGAGGGCCTCGCCGCAGCACTCGCCAAATGTGCAAAATGAGAATGCATCTCCTGCTAGGACATGGAAAGATACACAAGAATGCATCTCCTGCTAGGACATGGAAAGATACACCGCCATAATTTTTTGTCTTTTGTGCAACTGGTGAGTAGTGCGGCGAGGCCCTGGACTATTCCTAAACCCCTTGTGTTCACCCGAATACAACGTACGCTCATTATAGCAGTAAGTATTTGGGGCAACTTTGAGTCTAGATACAGGAAGAATTACCGTACGTTGTATTCGGGTGCACACAGGAGCGGGTGGCTCGCTGAAGGGTGCACACACTTGGAGATACCGTTAAAGCCCCCATTGACCCCAGCCAGCGCCGGATTTATTAACACTAAGCTTTTCATTTTGCCGTCCTCTTTTAACCGATTAAAATCTGACATAACTCTGATCATGCGACATATAACCATGGCTATAGGACATAACTAATACTGCTACACAATTTTATTTTCCCTTAGCCGTCGATCTTTCCGGGATCTACGCTCAGACTTTAAGAATCCGGCTACCGTCTTCCCCCAAACAGAAAGCATGGTAATTTTTTTTTATTTTTTTTTATTTTTTTTAAGGAAAAGCATGGTAATTTTCGCTGTATATTCGAGTCAACTTGCATTCGAGATACAGCGATAATGTCCGTGCGGGCGTTCTATTCGGAGGAGACGATAGGTGGGACATCAACTCAGCCCCCGGGCGTTCTGTCGGGTTCTGCATTTTAGCTAGCTCTACATTTGAGTCAATTTTCATTTAGATACAGCGATAATGTCCGTGCGGGCGGGTTCTTCATTTTAGCTAGCTATACATTTGAGTCAATTTTCATTCAGATACAGCGATAATGTCCGTGCGGGCGTGTTCTATTCGAGGGAGACGGGACGTGAGACCTCAACTCAGCCCACGGGCGTTCTATTCAGGTTCTTCATTTTAGCTGGAATTTGGGTCAACTTCCATTCTAGATACAGCGATAATGTCCGCGCTGACGTTCTATTCAGGGGAGCGGGTAGGTGGAGCCTCAACTTAGAGGGCCGGGAGTTCTATTCGGGGGACACGGTAGGCGGGACCTCAACTCAGACCCCGAGCGTTCTATTCCGGTTCTTCATTTCGGATCGCAGAGATCAAAGATCAACGGCATGGGCCCTGAGCAAGAAAAATCAAATCAAATCAAATCACATCAAATCAAATCAAATCAAATCAAATCAAATCAAATCAAATCAAACCAAACCAAATCAAATAAAAATTATCAAATAGAATAACACACAAGAAAAAAGAATCCGAGCAATTAATTAAGAGCGCAACTCCCATGCGGTAAAACAGCGGGGGTAAGTTACTACCTCCCATGGCTTTTGAGAAGACGGAAAAAAAAAAAAAAACAGCGGGAAAACGACAAACATTGAA